GGCGGTCAACCTTCATTTCCCGAGTTGGAGTGGACCCGATGTCATGGAGGACATATACGCGCGAGACCCGTTCAGCTCGATCGGAAAGATTTAGTTTCGTTCTTCGTCGAACACGTGGACCTTCCTGAAAGCAGTCAAAGGGCATGGTTTCTCTGATGAGGGACGCCCGCCTGATCATCAAATCGACAGCACCGAGGACGAGAGGCAAATGTGCAAGAGGACGACGACGGCCCACAACATCACGATGAAACACCAAAAGGAGACCCAAGTGTTGGGAGAGAACCCGACCAGCGAGGACCTGCAGCAGACCTTGCCGCGCGATGGGGACGGGGAATCGCGCGCCACAGGCCGCAACAGGGCGAGGGATGGCATGGCCAGCCGCCTGCACGAGGCGAAACGTGCCATAGGGCTTTTTCTAGGCCTCGAATCAGGCGCAGGCGTCCAGCCTTAACATCTGCGTCGCAGAGCATTTGCAGGACATCAACTCTGGCGCACGCTGAAGTGCGGGGCCAGCGGCGCCCCGAAAGCGATGCGCAACATTGCGAACGATTTCGTGGAATATAAGAAGCATCGAGCACGAATTCTGTTTTTTGGCGCAGACCTGGATAATGAGGAGCACCGGGATGTCCCATTACTCCAGGAGACCGCGTGCTCTGAAAATTTCCAGGTCGACACCGTGGACGGCGGCCATGCCCCTGTTGTCTCGAGCTCACGCGATGGGCGCAGAAGAACGGTGACCATCACACATGGGACCTTCGCGGGAGATGTCAACGCCGACTTCAGACAGAGTGGGGAAACCATATCCGCGTGGCTCAGGTGGCTCCCAGAGCAAATTCCTCGCCCGTGCTCATCTTTCCCCTTCGCGCAACGTCGGGGAATACGACGCGAGCGTCGATGGCGTTCACGAGTTATGACACGATGGAATATGCGGCGACTCGTCGAGTGGGATGAATGCCCTAGCCGTTGGTGGTAATCGAAATTCTGCTCCGTGGGCCGGCCCCAATGCTACTTATCGTCGGGGCCGCGTCGCCGCGCACTTCCTGAACTTCGCTAAGACTCACGACCTCTCCCTCCTCGACACCACGGACTCCTCCCCGAACGATTGCTGGACTTGTCATTACGATTATAAAGTGGCTTCCAATGCTCATCGGCTTGATTACATCGAGGCATCCCGGGGCATCCCAGGTCGCCGGATCGAGTTTGAGGCGGCGCTGCCAGCGTCCCGGGCAGCTATGCCTGCAGACCCAGACGCGTCACGCTGAAAGATTTCAAGACGCAGCTACCACCCAGGTCGCATCGCTCGGCGCGCTCGGCTCTAGGCTGGAGGACGCGGGACGCAGCGTGCCCGCGGAAGACCCGCGACGAATTGGAGATGCCGTTATTTCTTGGACAAGAGCTCGAATCCGATCGCGACACCTGGGCCCGACGCATCTGGGCCGACGGAATTGTTGTCCGAGGGGCGATGGCTGCAAACACGCGTCGAACCAAAATTTGGCCAGGGTTGCCCTGCGCCCCCCCAGGGCCCCGAGGATGCGACGCTCCAGCTGTCAGGCCCCCGGCATGACCGCGCGCGCGCGGGCCCGTCACAGACGACCCCGAACGCAGAGATTTTCGCGGGACTGCTCGACCCGCGAACGGCGCCGCTGAAACTGCGGCACCGATCGGATTTAGTTTCTGGCCCCAGAAGCAGGAGCAGCGCTGGTCGGCCTCACCCTCGACCCCCGGGGCCCTCATCCGCGACCCCTGGGACCTGGGCGATCCGATAAGTACTTCACATCATTCGGAAAACACGATCAACGCGCGCGTCGACGCGAAATGCGCGACCCCGGCAGCCGAAGGAACGACGCGACCAAAAGAGATCGTCTTGATAGATTACCCCGCCCCGCACATACCTCAGTTAGTTCGGGAATATTATCGAGCGAACTTTGCCCAGGGCCGCTCGCACCAAGCTGAAAACGTCACGGGCGATTTCGCTGATTATTTGGCCAGGCAAGGCGCTCGTCTAGACTCAGGAATACTCTCGTGGAACAGACCTATTCAGGTCGACTGGTCTCAAGAGGAATTTCTCCGACTGCTGGGAGGAGCTCGGCAGTTCTGTTCGCCGACCCACGAAGAATTGCAACGCCGGCGACAGAGACTTGAGACGAGTTGCCCACCGCTCTTCGTCGGGAACCTGACTGAGAAGGCCACCCATTCACCAGCGCACCGCACCGGCGCGAGCGGAGAAAAAAGAGAAAAGAGAAAAGAAAGAGACCCAAAAAAATACCCTTTCCTGAAGACACTTCACGAACGCGGTCGCCGGCACCGCGGCGCTTCCCGGGCGCGCCCCCGACGAACGACCCGCCCGCGGCTCGCGCTCGCGATCTGCGACGACCGCTGCGCACGGGGGCTTGGAGCCCCACGCGCAAGCAGCCAGTCAAGAATTTGCATCACATCAGGAGGCAGACGTGCGGGACGCGGCCCACGGCCACACTGAACGCGGCCCCCAAGACGAAACGATTCCGCGGACGCCCCAAGGCCCGACCCCGCATCCCCGAACTGAACAGACCCCAAGACGACGCGGTCTCAACGGCGACGACACTTGCACAGAAAGATGTTGATGGACCTCTGATCTGAGCTCTTTGGAAGTCCGCCCCCGTCGCCCCCCCGCCATCCTCGACTCCATCGGGGCGCCGAACGACGACGAAGGGCCCGCCGCGGCCGCGTCGCCACCGGGGCCCAGCGACCTCAGAGGTTCTTCGCATACTGGATCGAGGCCGGGCGCAGGACGCGCCGCTCAAGATGAAGACGGGGAAGCAGGGGCCCCCGCGGGGCGGAGCGGCGGTGGAGACGCTCACCCATCTGCCCGAACACGCCCACGCATGCGCGGCCCATGTTAGCCCTGCCCTCCGAACTCTCGCGGGGGACAGGAGGACGAGGTCTAGGAGACTCACGCGACGAGCCCCCTCGCAAAGTCTGGTTTCGCCAAGTCGGGGGGGATCAAAGACTTACGCCCAATCGCGACGCTTCCCGCTGAACGCAAAGTACACGGCCGCGCAGCCCCACTCCACTGCACTCCTGAGCAACGTACTCTTTCAAAATATCATGTCGCTGTTTAGGGGGATGTTCACACTGAGGAGGTGATACTGCATGAGAACAATTAGCGGGGAAGCGCAGTGAACGGGGCCCCGGGAGCCCGCCCTCCACTTTCGCGGGAGATATCCTCATGGCCGATGACAACACGGACCGCGGGGCGTAGCTCGAGCTGGCCCGAAACGCAAGACCCCCAAGATTCTCTTGGCGGGATACCTTGAAGAGGTAGGGGCGGCGACGGCGACGGCCTCAGTAGATGACCCCCGAGTTCGGCCCCCATGGAAAGAACGCGCTCTCATGCACAGGGGGGCCCTGCAACGCCGCTTCTGTTCAACACTAGATTGACCGGCTCGTCAGGCAATGAGAAAGACGCGACCAGGGCGCCGGCTGGCAAGCACCCACCGACCGCAACCATGATTTGTCATCCCCATTTTCTGCTTCGCGGATGCGTTCTGGATCCAGGGGCGCACCCGAAGGGAGATGAAAATAATGGCCGAAAGTTGATTGCAGATTTTGCATGAAGGTGGATAAAAGGTGGACCTTAGCGATTGCCAGTGGTCTAGCACGTCGCTTCCCGAGGCCTCCCGTTGGAACGAGACCGTCAGTATCCAGGGCCAGGACATCACGAGGATCCTGAGGCAGGAGGGCATCAAGGTTTCAGGTGCGACGATTTCCCACGACGGACACTACGAGACGGCGATGGGGCATCGAATATCACGGTCTTGGAAGACGTGGTTATGCTGGCGCTTTGTATTTTGCCAGCATCACGCGCCGCTCGAGAAGCGGCTCCTTCTGTGCGACAGCGTAACGATGAGCAGCTTGTTCTGGAGCGTAAAAGAGTGGACGCTCAGAAAGACCAGCTCGCGAAGATCAGGGGCCTCCAGGACACCATGCATCTAAGAGTTTTCGATTTCAGAAAAAAAAAGTCACAAGCCCTGTGATGTGTTTGTGGTCCGCACCTACAGCAAGATCAACGTGGTCAGAAATAGCTCGGCCTGCTTGATTGAGATGAGTCTCTACTGCAGATGCAGCATTTGTGGGCAGGTCAAATTGAACTCCTGAGTATGAGAGATCCCGCTGGTCTCAGCCCGCAGGACCTCCATTTTCGTGGCGCCTGGTTCCTCCGTTGGCAGGAGCAAACTCCCGGCCGCGGGCGTCAAGGCTGCGCGTGTCAGTTTTTGCTCTGGGGGTGGGAGTATGTCACCATATCGTTGTCATCGCCCCCATTTCAACCCTGAAACTTAGATGCCCAATCGAGTGAGATTTGGTTACATTACTAGAACATGGTACTGTAGTGGCGGTACTGTGCACGTTTCTAACGTTTATGCTTACCACTAGTGTCACAATCCTCCCAGTTCTGTTCACGACCGAACTTATCGAGGAGGACACATGCATACATGCATCGTCCTTGCTTTGTCCTCCATATTATAGTGTCCGTTTTCTTTTCCTCCTTTCCAACCCTCACCCCTCTCGCCCTCCCATTTTTCCTCCCCGTCCTCCCCCTCCCCCTTCCGAAGACGCTGGTGGCCCCCGTGAAATCTTTGACGACGACTACGGTGAAGGCGGCGACGTTCCCACCAGCTTCGGCCAGAAGAAACGAGAACAGATGACAAAAGACAAGACAAGAGGAGAAGAGAAGAGAGGAGGGAAGGACAGGGGAGAAGAGGAGAAATTATACGAAAGCTGTCCGAGAAGAGGTCAGAAGGGGAGGGACTCAAAGGAAACGACGAAACGAGACGACGACGACGACGACGACGACGACGACGACGACGACGACGACGACGACGACGACGACGACGGCGGACGGCGTCCCCGCCGTCGCCGACGAGACGAGACGACGGTAAAAAACGCAGGCTGCAATGCAGCGGCGCCCGCGGCCTCTCTGGCGGCAGCGGCGGTGGCGGAGACGGCGGCCGCCCGCCCGCCAGGCTTGGCGCAACTACAGCGCGGGCCAGCGCGAGGAGGGCGCGCGGCCCTCGCACGAAGCTGGCGGCTCTCGAGGCCGCCGGGGTCCAGGCAGTCAGGGGCGAGGTTTCGAGGATCCAGGTTATCGAATAGGTTGTTTGGCCACGGCCAGAGGCTTCAGATTCAGGCAGTCAAGGGTGAGGTTTCGAGGATCCAGGTTTTCAAATAGGTTTTGCGCCACGGCCAAAGTTTCCAGATCGAACGAGGATCCGGGTTTTAAATCGGATTCTGGAGGCTTCTCGTCGCCACGGCTGGATCTCCTTCAGAATATTGGCCGAGCGCACCCCGGGCAGGTCCCGGGGTCGACCTTGAGAGGAGAAGGACCCAGACCTCCAGCGTCTTGAAAAATACAGACGGTGCTGTTCGCCATCGAGGTTCGAAGGTCAAGGATTGAGATTCGAGGATCACTGCTTTTCTTTTTGTTTTAGTTGTTGGTTATGTTGTTGTCTTCTAGCGGCCTGTGAAGACCCCTGGAGACCTCTGGAGATCAAGACCTCAAACGCTTCGAACACAAACATCATTCGGGGGAAAGCAATTATGCCAGCGTGAGCCCACACAATGGGTGATTGCAATGTCGATGTGCGTTTGCTTTTCGCAGAGGCGTTCGGGTAGGGATTGTAAAATGCTAGAACGATTGAAAGTGTTTGGTTTCTGCCAGCGCGGATTGACAGATTGAAAAATTTGTGGATTCGGTGGTCTGCGTGCGCCGATTGGCAGATTGAAAGGCTGAACCATCTATCAGTTTGGGGGTCCTGGAGTGAACTATTGACAGATCCTTCAGTCCGTAAAGACCAGACTGAAAACATTGAATAGTTAATGATGTTTCAACTTGGAGGTTTCGGATTGAAAAATTGAAAAATTGTCCAGGGGGTGATGTGTTGTTTCTTCCAATTCATTACTAAGATTTCAATTGTTTATTTGTTTTCTTGCGACATGGCAACGCAGCGGGACAAAAGCAATACTAGAATACTCTGCTCGTCGCACGGCCCCGCAGGAGCGTGGAACCCAAGTCAATCCCCCCGTATTCGTCACACGGCAACGTGTGGTGGGCGAAAAGTATTCTGCTTTACAGTGTTCGTCAGGTGGCAACGCCTGATGGCTTCAACATGTTTATTGGATTCGCCATGTAGCAACGCAGCGAGTCGGGAACATACGATTCAGGTCTACTCGTCCCGTGGCAGCGTCTAGAAGGGAAATACTAATATGACAATATAATACGGCACTCTTCTGGTCACGTGGCAGCGCCTGCGGAGTGGGATTCGCCACTTGGCAACGCAGCGCGGCGGAATCATCGTATCTCTCATATATCGGAAACTCAGCCCTGGTGACCCCAGGCCGAAGACCACCAGGGGCATTTGAACAACGGTAAGTTCCCCCTCCCCCCCAGGGTTTCCCCGGGGCCTCCTGGGAGCCTCCACGGAGCTTCCCCGGCCCCCCCGAGGCTTCCAGGTAGGTTCCAAATAAGTCACAGATGGGCCCAGATGGGTTCCGGACGGCCCCAGATGGCGTCGACGCCCCAAGAGGCCCCCAAGGCGCCCCAAGACGGTTCCAAGAGAGCCGTCAAGAGAGCCCGACGAGGCGCAAGTCCTTTTCATTCCCCTAGGGAAACGCACATTTCTAAGTCACTCGCTGTTTTCACACGCGCAGCTTCTAAGACGGCCCCAAGGGGCCCCAGGAGAGCCCCATCACAGTCCAAGAGGTCCCCCAGAGAGCCCCAAGAGGGCCCCAAGACGGCCCAAGAAGCACCCAGGACCGCCCAAGACGTCCATAAGGGCCCTCAAGAGGGGCCGGGGGGGGGGGAAATGGGAACCCACATTTCGAGGCCTCCGTCCCAAGAGGACCCCGAAGACGGCCAGCACGCCCCCAAGGACCCCCGCGAGAGGACCCAAGAGCGCCCTAAGACTCTCCAAGACGGTTCCAAGAGGACCCTCCAGAGGGCCCAAAGAGGCAAGAATCGCCCCCCTTCCATGAAGGAAAACGCACATGTCTAGCACATTCGCTATTTTCATGTGCGCAGCTGCCAAGGCAGCCCCACACGCCCCTAGGAGAGCCGCGAAGCAGCCAAGAGGCCCCCCAAAGAGCCCCAAGAGAGCCCCAAGACAGCCCAAGAGGCACCCAGGACAGCCGAAGACGGCCCCGAGAAAGTCTCAACAGGAGCCCCGAGGGGGGAATTCGAACCCGCGCTTCGAGGCCGCCGCTCCAAGAGAACCCGAAGATCGCCAGCAGGCCCCAAGGACCCCCCGAGAGGACCTAGGAGTGCCCCAAGACGCCCCAAGATGGTACCAAGAGGACCTTCACGAAGGCCCGAAGAGGCACAAATCGTCACCCTCCTTAGGGAAGCGCACATTTAAAGCACATTCGTATGCGCACAGCTTCCAAGACGGTCCCAGAGGCCGCCAGGAGAGCCGCAAAATTGCCCAAGAGGTCCCCCAGAGAGCCCCACGACGGCCCAAGAGGGCCCCAAGACGGCCCAAGAGGCACCCAGAGCCGCCCACTACGGCCCCAAGAGGGGCCCCGAGGGGGAAATGCGAACCCACATGCCGAGGCCTCCCAGGACCGCCCACTACGGCCCCAAGGGACCCCCAAGAGGGGCCTGGGTGGGAATGCGAATCCACATTTCGAGGTCGATACCGGCTCGCCTTGGACGAAATAATACCAAATGGAAGATGAAGAACGAGGCCCCACTTGCAAATTGCAATACCCCATGGTAACCGTCAACCCCGGGCTCGGGAGGGTGGTAGATTCTATCATTTGTTTTCGAACGGAGAACAAATATTGTGCAAATCACGTGCTGCTAGGAAAAAGGAGGAAGAGGCGGGGGCAAGGTTGCTCCCCCACGCGCCGATCTGGAGGCCACGAGCCGGACAGCGATCCCTTAGAGTGCCTGCAGGGCGAGTGGGTCGACGCCGTCCACGCGTCGAGGTGCTAGGCGGAGGGCTCTCGCCACCACGCCGCTGACCGCGACGACGACGACGACGACGACGACGACGACGACGACGACGACGACGACGACGACGACGACGACGACGACGACGACGACGACGACGACGGCGACGGCGACGGCGACGGCGACGGCGACGGCGACGGCGACGGCGACGGCGACGGCGCCGGCGACAGTGACGGCGACGACGGCGATGGCGACGCCGCCGCGGGGGCAGGGACGACGAGGACGCCGACGGCGGCGGCATCGACAACGACAACGGCAGCGACGACGACATCAACGACGAGGCGACGCCAACGACGCCGCCGCCGACGGCAGCGAGGAAGGGCGGGGACGACGACGACGTTGACGGCGAGGAGGGAAGGGTGCAGACGGGAGCTCCGCTTTGAGCAGGAATTGCCTTCCATCCTTCGGGCTGGGAAAAAATGCGACAGGGTGGGCCCATGAAGTCCAACGAAATGTCAGGCGACAGCCCCGTTTTGAAAAGAGCTGCCCTGCATCCGCGCAAGTGCTACTGGCACGGGTGGACCAAACCGAAAGACCCATTTTGAAAAGCAAGCGCCTGTCAGTCGCGCAATTGTTTCGCGAGTTCAAACTTCTGGCAACGAAGGTGGAGCAAGTCCCAGGGCGAGGGCCCAATTTTGAGAACGGGCCGCCCTCCATCCGCGTACCTGTTGGATGATGCTCAAAACGAGTGCGCGCGGCGCCCAGGCGGCAGCTCCGACTTTGAAAACGGCACGCCCTGCATCCGTGTCACTGTTGGACATTGTATTGTCCATTATCGTGAAAGGTGAGGTACTGTCAGGCGAAACGCCTGGCCCACCCTGACGACACGTCTGGTGGTGCGACAGGGAGGAGTCTTTCAGATGGAAGAGTGATGGAGGAGGGGTTGAGGGGAGGAAGAGGAGGGCGGAGAATGGAGAGGGGGAAGGAGGGAGAGGGGGAGGGGACGGAGAGGGAAGGAGGATGAGGAGGAGGAGGAGCAGGAGGAGGAGGAGGAGCAGGAGGAGGAGGATTTGTTTTAACATCCACCACGCAGCCACGATACAACTGAGGGCAGGCGAAACCCTCAGAGGACGCTCGTTTGGCGTGAAAACGCCACCCTGAGCGGCGTTGCGCCCAGAGAGGCTTCTCCTCCGCACTGAGCGGAAGGGGGAGTGGGGGAAACTCCCATTGGCTTCGCCTGCGCAGCTGTCGCCAGTGGCCCCCGTGGGCCCCTGGCCGTGCTCCAGGTGAGCCGTCCCTCAAACGGGGAACAGGAGGGGGAGGGGCCTGGGCGACAACCTCCACCCTCGAGAAAACGCTGGGGCCATCACACGTGCAGCGCACCTTCCCCCACAAATTGTGGTGCCTGCTACCCGTGCAAGAACCCGCGCGCAGCAAACCCACAAGACAGCCACCTCCTGGAGTAACGAACGCCCAGACGATGACAAAAATGAGACTGACCTGGGCAACGGTCAGGGCGCCAAGCCCCCGTGCCAGGCCCACGTCTCTCACGCAACGTGCGTGCAGTGCGCCTTCCCCCACAACTGGGGTGCCTGACACCCGCGCAGGCGCGCTCACGTACATGCACGTCCGACACACTAGGCGACGCCAGGACAACTCGGCCGCACAACCCCTGGTGTAACGAACGCCAGGACGATAGTGGGCTCTGTCCCTGGTGTGGGCCTGACTCCACCTGCGAGCCAATGCCCCCATGGTGGCCCTCCAGATACGGCCCAAAGACCAACTGGGCGGAGCGATCGAAGGACCCACCGTCTTCCGCTCCAACGTGGGGGGAAAAAGCATCAAACAGATGAGTCTGTCGGGAGAAAAAAACACGGCCATGGGCAAAGCACCGGTCGGGGCGGCAACCACCCCCGTGCCGAGCCCACGGGAAAGACGAACACTCGTGCGGCACACCTTCCCCCACAACAGGGGTGCCTGATACTCGTGCAGAAAGCGCCGGGGCCGCGGAAGCTGGAGGAGGAGGATGAAGAGGAGGAGGAGGAGGAGGAGCAGGGAGAGGAGGAGGAGGACGACGACGACGAGGGCGAGGACGAGGACGAGGGGTAGGAGAAACAAGCGAAGGAGGAGGGTAGGAGGGTGAAAAGTATTCAGAACAGGTCGAAGGGAGGAGGCGGAGAGGAGGAGGAGGAGGAGGAGGAGGAGGAGAGGAAGGGAGGGGAGATGGGCGAAAAGTAATGGAAAGGAGTCGAGGGGAGGAGGAGGAGGAGGAGGAGGAGGAGGAGGAGGAAGAGGCGGAGGAGGCGGAGGAGGTTCGGGTCGATGTTCGATTGCTTGCGGGGCTCCAGGGAGCGCATGACCCTCTCCGGAGGAGAAGGGGGAAGGAGAAAAGGGAATGGAAATGAGGGAGAAAGAGAATGAAAGAAGAGTAGCAGGAAAAAGAAGGTAGGGGGAGAGGGGGTTGGCGACAGGGCCCAAGCTCGATCACACCAGGTAACGAATCGTGTTTGCCCAGCTTGCATGATTCACTTGTCCAAGAATGAAGCATGGATCGCGCGAGTCCTCCTGAGCGTGGAGATGCTCCAAGACCTCCAGGATGCCATTGAACGCCTTCTGCGCACTGTTAGGAGGGCTGTCTATGCTGTGGCTCTGCGTCGTGACATCTTGCTGTCAAGTGCGCTAGAGGCTAAAGGGCCTCATCAAGTAGCCGTTGGCCCATCTTGTCACCGTGCCTGGGGCGTGGACACGGGGCTTCGTAAAGGCTCCTTGGGGCCTATTGGAAAGCGTCTTGGAAACCTTCTGGGGGGGCCTCTTGGGGCCATCGGGGTCTGCGTCATTTGCGTGGGCTCGGAGTCGGGCTCGCTCGGCTCTGGGGTGGATGCACAGCCCAGGTTGTATTGGAGATTGCCTGCTTGAATCGACTGATACCATCGTCAAAGTCATCATCATTAGCAGCAGCAGCAGCATCATTATCATCATCAGTGGTATGATCACCATGCCTGGAACTTATTGTCCCTCCTCCATCTTCCATCTCCCCTGCACTGATCCACCCCCTGGTTTCGTCACCGTCATCCCAGTGGCACTCCACGTGTCGTATCGCCTCCGCATCCACGCCGCCCCCCCCTCCACGATGGACGGGGGCAACTCGTGCCAAGTCCGCTCTGGAATGCGGGCCTTCGTCCAGGCTTCACCCGCCTCCTGTTCATCCTTCTCTTCCTCGTGATCCTGCTGCTCCCGCATCCGTTCCGTCTCCTCCGCTTCCTCCTCGTGATCCTCCTCATCCTCCTCCTCCTCCTGCCTCCTGCCCTGCCTCCTCCTCCTCCTCCTCTCCCCCCTTCTGGTTCCAAGCAAAGAGGCAATGGATCTGCAAGGTGCGCTTTCGAGGCACTTCCGCTCGCTGAAGCGAATGGCATCCCGAAAAGGAGAATGGCTCCAGCAAGACCGTCGTGGGCGCTCGGAGCGGAACGCTCCTTTGGTTGTGCTTGAGCTCCACCCACTCCGACAGCCCCACATCGACCCCCGTCGCGGGCAGCCACCGCGCGCCGAAGGCGCTCCGACCCCCGTCGCGGCGCGACGACGAGGCGAGGTTGACCCCCGTCGGGGGGGTACCCCCCGACGCTTCGCAAGAAACCCAGAGTACCCTGGAGGGGGTGCAAGCGGACTCCGTTCGAGGGAATTTCTGCATCGTGCGCCGCCCGGAGCCACCGACGTACGCCCGCTTCAGTTTGGTCGTGAGGGACGGCAAGGTGGGGGCCGCCGCACTTGTCTTCACTGCTGCGCTCGCAACGTCTTGAGGCGCTTGCTCAATGTGTCAATGTCTGAAGCAGCAGTAATGCTAGATGATTGTGTGCGCTCCGCCCATCCTGTTCTCTCTCTCTCTCTCTTTCTCGTTGTCTCTCTCTCTCTCTCTCTCCCTCTCTTTCTCGCCCACTCTCTGTCTCTCTCTCTCTCTCTCTCTCTCTCTCTCTGTATAGTGTTGTGTATATATAGAGTTTCCTCTCGATGTGTATGTAGAGTTGTACAGTTACATGAATATGCGTATGTATAAATGTGTTTCTCTCTTTGTGTGTATGTATAGTTATCTCCATCTCTCTATATATAGTGTTGTTTATCTATATCTATATATCTCTCTCTATGTCTCCCTATCTCTCTATATATAGCCCTATATATCGTTATATCTCTCTCTCTCTCTCTTACTATATATAGTGTCCTTCTCTCTCCCCTCTCCCCATGTATACATGTATGCGTATGCATAAGTACATTGTATATACATGTAGATATCGAGACATGCATATATATATACACACACTTACACCCCTGAACAGTTTGACAAGTGTATATTGCGATCCACGGTGAGTTGGCGCCCACATTGTGCTTTGATCTAGCCAACGTAGTGCACCCCGTGACCCTTGGCAAACGTCAGCCTCCGCTGCTGACCTCAAGTCTATCTTCGCGGAGGCTCGCGCGTCCATGGTGCCAGAAACGGCGGAAGCCTCCAAGAAGGACCTCAACTACATGGCAGAGTGATTGCCTGCCACTGTCACCTCGGTCGTCCAACCCCTCTTCACCAAGTTCGAGTCGTCCATTCAGCGGCGCTTCGCCGAGCAAAACCAGCGGATTTGCGAGATCAGCAATGGCATGGACTCCACGCGCACGCGAGGCGAAGCCACGGAGCTGCGCCTGCAGGCTTTGGAGCGGGAGCTCGACCTTGACTGGCGCGAGCCACGCCCGACGGTGGCTCGGACGAGCGAGTGGGCTCGCAAGATGGACCGCTCGGCGCTCATCATCCGCAGCGAGGATGATATCGCCAAGGACCTGGTGCAGCAAGCTCTTGTTCCTTCACTTGACGCCGCCAACTACACGATGGGCGATGGGCGCCGCCTTGAACGTGAGACCTCGGGCATTATTTTCACTCTACGCTTTCTGGGGCACGATGCGGTGGCCGAAAGACGCGCGGCACAAGCCGACGCCCAGCTACGTCTTGGAGATGGCCAGTGGCAGGTCCACATGCCCGGGGGAACATGGGTGCCTCTCAACATCTGTTTCAACAAGAAGCGGCAGGACATCAGCAGGGAGATCGCCGTCAAGAAGTGCAGGACCGCCCTCGACTCCTGAAGCCCATGTTCGCGGACCAGGACGAGGGCGTTCTCTCCTTCCAGTGGGAGAAAGTGCGCAAGATCGAGGCGCGCCCCATCCGAGCCCCCGAAAATTCGATGAACCTCGACTGCCTCGCTACATCATGGCCAGCCGTAAGCTCAGACGGCATGCCCGAATTCTCCCCCCTATAGCCCCTCCTGCTCGCATTGGTGGGTGCTCCCAGGATTGACGCAGGCAGTGGCAGACTGGCTCGCAACCAGCATAATAGCATCCATTGAACGACTCCTCGGACAATGATGGGTTTGAACCCTTCCTTTCGTCGCATGGTTTCCATGCCCACGCCGGCCGCGCGCTCGCCGACCTCCGCCTCGATGATCGCGCAGCTGGAGCCGAAGCACACGTAACACTCGAAGCACCGTTTGCCCGCGGTGATCTTGAAGCCGAAGCGTTCGAAGAATCCGAGGCATCCGAAGACGGCGGCGACGGGGATGCCCCTGCACCCACTGATGGATACGTTCTTTCTGGCGCTCCGCACAATGGTGCTGACGCTCAATTTCCTGAGCGCCCGCGATCCTTGACTACGATCCAGTTCTCTACGCCGGCGACGGCCATCAGGCGGAGGACGAGCCGAAGGCATTGAGTGACGACGTCGAAGGTGTTGGCCTCAACCTTGACCTGCAGCTCACGCAGAATGGCGTCACGCATGTACCCTGGGAGTTCTATTCGGGGATCGAGTGCGCTCGCCCTCTTCTGCTTCATCTAGCAAGGCCCCCACGCGGCGCGCGAAGGGCAAGCCGCTTCCACCTCACCCGCAGAGCCTTGGAGCTCACGACGCACGACGCGTCATCAACCACTTGGAGGGCTTTGTGGGGCAATGGTTCTTCATGACTGAAGGCGAAATCTGGCAAGAACGTGACGATTGAATCAACTGGTGAGTAACACCCATGGTTTTGCTGCTCCACATGCCTCACTTGATGGAGCCCACGCCAAGAACGTCGTGGCCACCTTTTATATTGCCTGACTCGCTCTGGCCTGGAGCATGACAACTGCGGAGCGGTCTGGACACGAACTGGCGCCGCGAGACGAAGACCCATGGAGACCATGTCGAATACTTCTCTTGTCAACTGGCCAAGCACTGCGGACCTTCACGCGAAGGCCCCAAGAGATCAGTGGCGGCACAAAGAGCAGGAGCATGCATACCCCGACGAGACTTCAGACCCCGTCATCCAGCCGCAGCGCACACGGCGGCCACCCTCACCATCACGCTGGCCCACACCCTCCCGCGAGACCAACCATTGAAGGACAAGAAGAAGGACCTGAGAACAAAAATCCCCGCATAGACCCGAATGCCCAGATGATTTCGAGATCCGACGACAGCATCATGACTTTGCATCTTGTGTTTGATTATTGGGCGCCTCTGGGTGGTTACCATGGGGAGGCTGCGACTGCCTGGAGAGCGGTGAACAATTGGCCAACGAGGAAGTTACCCCCGAGATGATATCGGCAACTCTCCAGTCCTCAGTGGAACCAGACCACGACGACTGCACCCAGCTCAGAGGAGTCCCAGCACGCATCGCGGAACCATGGGTCCCACATCTCTTCTACCAATACGCGCACATCGATTCTGGCCAGCATTGGTTAGAGTGGTGCATCCCGCTCGCTGGGCGCGGCTGCAGCGCACCAAGTTCAACCATGGCTTTGGAAAAGTTGGCATTGACACGCATGCTGATCTGTTCCCAGTTGCTGGCTGAGGAGCTTTGCACGGACGGTTGGCCCTGCGTTCTCATTAGCGGGACGCGATGGTTTCACCCATCAGCCAGATTGCTCACATCTTGCGCGAAGGTAAATTGCCCCGTCGGCGGGTTCTTGGCGAACGCTTCCGCGGTTGGCAACCGCTCCACTTCGCCCCAAGACGTTCGCAAGCTCATAGGCTCGAGGATGCTCGATCGTCTGAGGTTGGGGGGGCAGCAGGAGATTCAGACTCCGCGCCCCCCCCCCCCGACACATGAGCCGCCTTCGCCGCCTGATTCCCCAACGCCTGCGGGGGTTGGCAACATGGACACCACCGACGATTACACTTCGAGCAGCGGTGTCGGCACCCCGCTGATCGTTGATGCTGTCAAAGGCTCCAATTCCCGCGACGACGTCGTGTGCGCCTTCGACTTCTTCGAGGAGGGCGCGAAAGTTCCCGCGTCGTCGGGTGCGGCCAACGGCGGTCGGGCGTAAAGTGGAGACCCGCGCCTCCCGCACGCTGGGTTCCTCCTCCTGCTCCTGCTCCTGCTCCTCCTCCTCCTCCGCCTCCTCCTCCTCCTCCTCTCTCCTTCCCCTGGGGTTAGGAGGCTGCCTGACTGCACTGGAAGGCGTGAGTCCGCCAGCGCACACCTCTCATCAGACCCGAGACCTTTGAGGCGAACGCAGCAGTGTCAGAGCCTTGGAAATCAGGATTGTGCAAACCAGGATGTTGCCACATCCAACGGGAGGGAGGGGAGAATGGAGGATATCTCGAGCAAGGGCTGCAGTTTTCTCCGGCGCGCCAATGTTTTGGTTTACCAAAGACCCTGCAAACCAGCGCACGCCGCCCACCGTGAGGGATTGTCAAAGACGATTCGGGGCAAAAGCCATATCAATGTTACGACATAAATCAAAGCATTAAGAACTAGCAAGCACAACAAATAAATCCAGGATGGAGTCGAGAGGTCCTGTCCAGGGACCCACGCCAAGGGAAAAACGCGAATTCAGATGTAAGGTTCGGGCCGAAGCGGGCTCGCCCCCTTCCGGCGTATCCCGCGGGCACGACTTGGGACGGCACCGGAGAGTTTTCCGTCTCCGTTGGGACCATGGAAGATCGCGCCCATCTAGGCAAGCCGATGGACATTCCTGAATCATCCGCCTGCTGACTCCTGCTCCTCCTCCCTATTCTGTCCGCACCCCCCTGCTCGTGCACCCCGTCCTACTTTTGTTCATAGCCTTCATTCGCGTTTTGCTCCTGGCCGTTCTCCTGCTCCAGATGATGTTCCTACTCTTCGTCATCGTCACCATCATTCTGATCGTTCTCACGATCATCATCCTATTCCTCAAGTTTCTCTCTGTTGCTTCCCTTCCCGTCCGTATCTTCAGCGCGCTTGCCTGTCACCGTGACCAGGTGTGGTGGGGCTCGTTGTGCAAGTTCGTCTTAGGAACTATTTTCTGTTCTGAGGA